TCAAAACCAGCCTGAGAAGGCGGACCGTCTGTCTACTAAAAAGAAAGAAATTATTGGCACTGATATGTATAAAATCATTAAGCGGGCATGGTGGCGCATGCCTGTAAGCTCCCAAAGCTACGTCGGGGCCTGACGGCAAGATGCTCGAGCCCAGGAGTTTGAGGTTGCTGTGAGCTAGGCTGACGCCACGGCAACTCACTCTAGCCTGGCAACAAAGGAGACTCTGTCTCAAAAAAAAAAAAAAAAAAAAGCCATCTCAACAAATGTTTATAGCAGCAAACAATCACAATTGTAAGAATGTGGAACAACCCAAGTGCCCAATCAATATAGTGGATTAATAAAATGTGGCATATATATAACACAGTGCACCTAACTCAGTCACGAAACCAAATGGTGATGCATTAGTCTTGCTCAGGCTGGTTTTGAACTCCTGACCTTGAGCAATCCGCCCGCCTCGGCCTCCCAAGAGCTAGGATTACAGGCGTGAGCCACAGCGCCCGGCCTGAACTTCTTTATCTCTGGTAATGTTCTTTGCCCTGAAATCTACTTTGTTTTTAATATAGCCACTCTAGCCTTCTTTTGACTAGTGTTAGGACAGTGTATCTTTTCCCATCCTTTTAGTTTTATTCTATTAATATTTTTATATTTAAAATATTACCTGTAGGTAGCACATACTTGGGTCTTTTTTAAAAAATCCAATCTGACAATGTGTCTTTTAACTAAGGTATTTAGATGATTTAAATTTAATGTGATTATTCATATGGTTAGGTTTAAGTCTATTATCTTACTGTTTGTTTTCTGTCACATTCTATAAAGAAAAGATGTTTTCCTCTTTTATTCCATTTTTTCCTATGCTGTCCTGAATAACGTTTTTCGATGCAGATAACAGGAAAAAAATGCCTGCAAGAATCCAGAACATTGGACTCTCTGAAATCTCTGATATAAATTACACTTCCCCTCCAAGTATAAAATCAACCAATATTTTAGTTCAAGCTTTTCACATTTATCCTAAGTCCCCTTCATACCAGAGAGAAGTGGAAGCCTATCACTGGGGAACTGAGACCAAGAGGTCAAAGCAGGTACCAGTTGACATGATTTTACTTCGAATTCTCTTTCTTCTTTAAAAGTTAGGCTCATTTGCATTCTTCTCCACAGAGAGAAAAGTAAGTTACTTTGACGCTCCAAGAACACCAAAGCACCTGGCGATACAGCAAAATGCGCCTGCGCAACTCCCACAAATCACTGGGCTTGCCTCGGGCTCACGTTGCATGCTGGGATCAGTCTGACCAGAACAGAGCGCTAGGCTTCCGAGGCTCTTTCTGCTCCGGACTGCATTTCCCAGTGGCCACCGCGCCTGAATTAACAGGTCCACTTCCGGCCTCCTGGGGTTGACGCCGTAGTGGGCTGAGGCCCTCAGTTCCCAGGACGGAGTCGGTGGCTGTCGGGAGTCTCTGCGGACTGGGACTCGAGCCCGAGCGACCCGGCAGTGCGGGTGGGCGAGGGGGAGGCGCTCAGGGGAGGAACCCCGGGGCGTGGACGAGGCACGTGCTGGGCGTGCGTGTTCGCGGGCGGCAGAGGAGGGGGATTGTGAGATCACGAGTGACGGAGCGGGAGTGTGTGAGTGTGTGCGTGGGGGCCCTGTCCTCAGGGTGTAGGAGGACGTGTGGACACTGGGCGCGCTTTGCTGTGGCTGTTCGGGTGTCACTGTGCCGATGGCTCCTGCCGATTCTTCGGTCTTCTCCCCTCACAGCCCCCGGGGCTGCAGCAGAGGAATGGCCCCAGAAGGGAGGTTAGATAGTGAGCCTAGAATGAAGCTTTCCGCAAGAAGGCACAGACCTGGACTTGGGGTGGGAATTTGAGAGCCAGAAGTGCCCTTGAGGACCCCCCCAGGAAGGCAGTTACATGTTGAGAACCACAGCGTCCTCAGAGCTCTGTCCCCAGGAGCCAGCTGCTAACTTGGACCTAGTCCTCCTTTTACTTCCTTGCCATTGGATGTGAGGGAGGGTGTGGCCTTTCAAACTTAGTCGCACTCCAAGAAAAGGCTGGAGTCTCATGCTTGCTGTATCTTTCCTCAGTCGTACCATTATCCAAAAGAACGACCCCGAGGCCGTTGAGAGCATTATTACTGCACACCTAAAAGGCAAGGGTGAGCTTGTGCTTTGTTTCCATTTAAGAAATGCGTCTTTTATTTTAGGATATAGAGGTTACAGTAAATTTTCAGTAAATGAAGAGGGATATGCAAATTGATAGCCAACTATCGTTCTCCCTCCATTGTCCCTCCCCTTTCCTCTTTTAATATTCACCTAACAGTTTGGCAAATCTCTCACATCTTCCTGTGCACTCTCTTTTTCTAACATGGTGTGGCAATAAACCTCCAGAGGTTAATTTTAGACTCTAATTTGGTAAGGAGATGAGTGTTTAGGTGGAATCACACACCAAATATCTATCTGTTGGTCTTCACACACCTCCTTTTTAAAGCAAGGGGGCAGGGGATGGAGATGGTCAGTTGATTTCAATTCGGTCTATGAGGTTTTCAGGAGTGGGAATTTCAGAGACATTGATATCAACAAGAGCCAGGATTTTCCCAGGGAGTCCATGAGTTGAAATTTGTAATACTGGCTAGGTTTGTTTGAAGTTTGGCACTTCAGTTGTGTTTTGGGCTTCTTTTTATGTGGACTGTGACAGGCAGTACAATGTTGTGGTTAAGAATAGGGGATGTGTCCAGAAATCAATCCCTGGTGAGGGGTTAAAAAAAAAAAAGGAATGGGGAATGTGGATCCAGAGTATCTGGATTGGAATCTTGGTTCTGTCAATTTCTGGCTGTCTTAGGCTTGTAATGAACATTAGAATGAATTAATATTGTAAAGCTCCTTAGAGCAGTGCCAGGCAAATAAGAAGTGTTTAATGTATTTTAACTGTTGTTTATGTATGGTCATTTTAGGTCAGCAGGTTCATTAGAAATATGTAATTCATTGTGGTTGCTGCTTATGTATTCAAGAAAATGAGCGAGGTGCTCAAATGATCTAGAATAGAAATTCATTTTTAAAATTCATAGATAATTGTATGTATTTATCATGTACAGCATGATGTTTTGAAGTATATACATGGTGTGGAATGATTAAAGTTAACTAACATATGTATTACCTCACATAGTTATCATTTTTTGTGGTGAAAACACATATCCATTTTCTTAGCATTTTTCAAGGTGACAATATAGTATAATTACATGTTGCATAATAGATGTTTTGAATTTATTTCTCTTATCTAACTGAAATTTTGTATCCTTTGACCATCTCCCCCACCACCACCACTACCCCAGCCCCTGGTATACTCCATTCTACTCTCTGCTTCTATGAGGTCAACTTTTTTAGATTCCACATATGAGTAAGATCATGTAGTATTTGTCTTTATGTTGAGTTGTTAGAGTTCTTTATATATTATGGATATTAACTCCTTATCAGATATATGGGTTGCAAATATATTTTCCCATTCTATAGGTTGTCTTTTCACTTTGTTGATTGTTTCCTTTGCTATGCAGAAGCTTTGTAGCTTGATGTAATCCCATTTGTCCATTCTTGCTTTTGTTGCCTGTGCTTTGGGGATTATATCCAAAAAATCATTGCCCAGACCAATGTCATGAAACTTTTTTCCTATGTTTTCTTCTATTAGTTTCATAGTTTTGGGTCTTACATTTTGACCTTTTAGTCCATTTTGAGTTGATTTTTGTATATATTAATCATTTGCAATAAGGGTCTAATTTCATTCTTCTGCATGTGGATATCCAGTTTTCTCAACAGTATTTATTGAAGAGACTGTCCTTTCCCCATTGTGTGTTCTTGGTCTTTGTCAAAAATCAGTTGGGTACAAGTGTGTGGATTTATTTCTGGGCTCTCTATTCTGTTCCATTGATCTATGTGTCTTGTATTTTTTGCTGGGGCCATGCTGTTTTGGTTACTATAGCTTTGTAATATATTTTGAAGTCAGGTAGTGTGATGCCTCCAGCTTTGTTCATTTTGCTCAAGATTGCTTTTACTATTTGGAGTCTTTTGTAGTTCCACACAAATTTTAGGATTTAAAAAAATTTTTTTTGTTAAGAATGTAGGACAGAAATTCTTACCCCGAGTTTTTGTGATACCATTTATGGTCTTGGAGACCACAAACCTTTTGAAATAGAATACTGAAGAGTTTTAGAAATTTATAAATTTGGGTTTCGAGGGGAAAGAAAGAAATTTTTGGCTGTCACACTAGGGGCAGAGTGCAACTTGGATCTAGTGGGTTGAGGTCAGGGATGCTGCCAAACATTGTACAGTGCATAGGATAGCTCTCTCATACCCCCCAACAAAGAATTATCCAGCCCAGTATGTCAGTAGTGCCGAGGTTGAGAAACCCTGGTCTAGAATCAAAAGTCTGTGATACCTGGAATAACATGGAAAGTGATTTTGTATAAACTAAGTGTTCTATAATATGGAATTAATCAAATCATACTAGACTCAAGTGATAGAATATTATACAGCTAATAAAATGATGTTTATAAAGAATCATGAAAAGAAGAATATTTGATATGTGCTAAGTGGTATTCATGCTATTAACAATAATACTCAAGAAAATGTTACATTGTTTATGAATCCCTTGTACTAAGATTGGGTTTTGATAAGATATTCTGTAAGGATTATATCCAAAATAATACTTTAAAATACTTTACTTGGTTATTCAGTGAAAAAAGGAAACAGGCATGATGACGTATGTTGTATGCATTTCTCCCCTCAGTTTGCAAATGCTACTTATTGCATGTGTTCATTCAGAGAAGAATCTTGGTAATAAAAGTGTCTGGTTATATTGGCGAGAAACAGCTAAAGGATGTTAGAACTAGTTGATGTTATTTGTTATAGTCACATTGATTTCTTTGTTGACCCTATGGCATAGTCAGTTTTTTTTTTTTTTTTTGATTGAAAGTACTCATTCATTCCCTGATGAGTTTGTTTTTATTTTTGTTTTTTAATTTGGAAGTAGCTTTATTATGTTGTTTTTTTTTGTTAAGAGACGGGATCTTGCTATATTGCTCAAGCTGGTCTCGAATTCCTGGGCTCAAGTAATCCTCCTGCCTCAGCCTCCCGAGTAGCTGGGCCTTCAGGTTGGCACCACTGTGACCAGCTGATGTATTTTTGATGATGGAATAGCATGGTTTGCAGGAAAAAAACAAAAATAAAATAGTTACCTAAGGAACTTAAAAAGAAGAAAGTTAAGATTATAGTTATACCTTGTAGATATAGTCATTATTGAATTGTTTGGTTTATATTTTTCTAATTGCTTTTTCTATGTGCATATGTGAGTTTTATTTCTGCAGAATAGAATCAGTTTGAAAAATAAATCTAATCCAGTCATGGATTAGATTTTCATTTCTGGGCCTGTGGCAAGAAGTGTAAAGTGGTCATTAGTGTTTCTTCTTCTGAGGCTTCTGCACTGGAAGGCATCTTTCCTCCTTATAATCTAAGAAGATAACTTAGGAGGAATTCCATTTTCCAGGATAGGCTCTTATTTTTTTTATTAGCATTCTAAGAAAAGAATAGGCTTGACACTATATTTTACTACAAGAAAGAAGAAAATAGTAGAATTAAGTCCCTTGAACAAATGTAATCTTCTTTATTCTCAATAATAATAACACATATCAAGAAATTGTTATTTGCCCTTATGTATTTTAATTGAATTTTCTTACTATTCTTGACAAGCTCTGTGGTGGTTATTCTTTTTCTGTTTTGCTAATGAGGAAATAGGCCTGAGCAGTGACTAATTGTCATAGTTCAAATTCACATTCTGAATATGAAAACAAAACTTGTCTTTTTACTACTAAAAATAGAAAGAAATTAGCTGAACAACTAAAAATATATAGAAAGAATTAGCTGGGCATGGTGGCCCATGCCTGTAATCCCAGCTACTTGGGAGGCTGAGGCAGGAGGATCACTTGAGCCCAGGAGTTTGAGGTTGCTGTGCACAAGACTGAAAAGAATTGGAAAATAAAAAGGAAACAAACCCTTTAAGTAAAAACAAGAGTTTATTAGAGTATCCTTTTTCCCCCAGGTTCAAAGGAAGGTGTCTAAATAAAAGGTGTCTTTCATCCAATTTGGAGACCAGTGTTCTCATAGGAAAAAGAGGTATATGTACATATACATATATAGACCCACACATGTGTGTAAATGTATGTGAATATAACTATATATATTCCAAGTTAATGCTTGGCCATAGTTACAATTACGAAGTACTCTTAAGTAAAAAGAAGATAATTGTGGCCATGATACAAAATAAGAACTGTTAATATACATATAATTTTTTCTAAAATTTTTTTCTGTTAATGCTTTTTAGTCTTTATATATACATACATTTTATAAATTTAATTATATTGTCCATCCTGTTTTGTAACCTGATCTTTCTGTTGATTGTGTATCTTGAACACTTAATGATTACTTTGTATTCTATCATATGGATGTTCTGAACTATGTTTAACCAGTGGTTTTATTAGAGTCAGAGTGCTGAACACTGCCTGAGCAGTTCCATCTGTTAACATATCCTCTCCAGCTTTCATGTCTTGTGCACTTCACCCAGTCCTGAGTTCACAGAAAGGTTCTGATTTGGATGATGTGACCTTAAAAGGTGGGACTGGGGGAGGAGGATCTGCTTAGAGCAGGATCAGGGGCCCAGTTTGAAGCCAAGATATGTATCCCAAGAATGGGGGACTGGCTGGAATCTCTCCTGCTGCAGTATTTTTTGAGCAAGTTCAAGGCAGAAGTGCCTGTCCTCTGCATTCATGCTTGTGTAGCTGGTTCCCTGGGGTTTAGGAGAGAGCTTGGTTTGTCCAGGCTCCTGTTCACTACCAATTTGTGTGTGTGTGTGTGTGTGTGTGTGCGCGCGTGCGTGTGGAGGGGAGTGGTGGGAGAAGGGTGGGATTGTGTGTGTTAGCAAGGGTAGCTGAGAAATAGAAATGGAGATAAAATGGTTATATTGTTGTAAGTGACTTTGGAAGCACTGAGGCACTGCTTGACTTAAGGTTCCCCCCTTTTCTTTTTCCTATAGGGGGGAAACCTGAGGCAGATTGACCCATTTTGTAGTTCTAAAAACATGGTCCACGTAAGTTGTATTTCTCTCTTCTCCTTGAAATATGGTGTCTCTTAGGTTAGATAATTCTGTTATTATTTAACCTGACGCTTCCTACCTAAGGATCCAAGATCCTACACCCCAGTTTGTCCCATTACAGTGAAGATTGGTGACAAAAAAGACAAGTTCAGTGCTTTTCCTATGTGTGCCTCTTTTTTCCAACTGATGTTGACATTTTCTTAGAACACATTATTCAACACGTGCTCTGTGCTCAGTCCTTGGTCAGGAGAAATCTTGGAACAGTAGAAGAGTCTGTTCCCATAGGGAAATAGCATCTCGTGGGCTTGAGAAGTTAGAGATGATTGTCTCATTTGAGCACACTTGGGAAAACCTTGAAAATTCTCCACCTACTTGAACTTTCCAGGTAGATGAGGTAGAATTTGATAGTCTCCATCTGTGACAAGGTGATTTGCTTCATGACGCTTTTAGGAAAATGATTAGTGAGGACAGTGGATGGTAACAGGGAGAAGACCATTCAGGGTATGAGTGGTAAGTGCCGGTATTAACAGGTTCCCAGAATTGGGGAAGATCTTAGAGACTTTTACCACCCTAAATGTATAAATAGAAAAAATGATTAAATCTAATGTATCTCTTATATTGGCTTTTATACAGCTTATAAAAACCATTTGCCATGACAAGAAAAAGTAGTATTGTTATCATCTCATACCATAATGAACTTGAGGATTGAGAACAATTTTTCAATTGTATGTGAACCCTATTTTTTTAAGATAAATATATTAAACAAAAGTTGGTAGGGAATTTCAGAAAATTTTTGTTGTTGTTGTTATATTGTAAATGTAAAGGATAGAGTTGGTGTAGAAATGCACATTTACTGAGCATTTGTGAGGCAGACACGTACCAAGCACTGTGGTTATTTAGTAGGAAAACTCAGATTCTTTTATCCATTCCCAGACATTCTGAGAAATAAGTAAATTACCCCACAGCAGCAGGATTCTTCAAGAACTTGCAGATACCCTGTGAATTTCCATATTGTTCCTTTCTTGCAGTTCAGTTCTTTACTTCCTGTCCTTCTATCTTGAAACAGTTTTCTTCAGTTTCATCATAATACATGTGTTTGTGGTTTCAGGGATCAGTGACATTCAGGGATGTGGCCATCGACTTCTCCCAGGAGGAGTGGGAGTGCCTGGACCCCGCCCAGAGGAACTTATACAGGGATGTGATGTTGGAGAACTACAGTAACTTGCTCTCACTGGGTAAGCCCATCGGCCCCAATTAATTTAGTGTCTGTTCTCTGGAATGTTAGCTTTCTTCACCTTGAATTTTAGGGCTTTTTTTAAGGGGTAGCTGAATTCCTTCTTCTTGCTCCCAAAAGAACAGTTTGAGATTTGTTGAGTTGAAAATGGGCACCTCCATGAAGCGCCTGCATCTTGCTTAGCTGACAGTGACCCTCCTCACTTACACTGGTCCTCTTTGTAATTGCCTCTCTCTCTTCATGACCATGGGACTGAATTTGAAATCTTGGACATTCACTGAATGATCGTTGTCTTGAGAAACCAAGTAGCATATTGTGTTTGATCTCAGAATTACTGCAGATGTTTTGGTTTTTTGTTTGTGTGTGTGTGGTTTTTTTTCTGGCCCACCTGTAAAGAGAACAGTATCTTGAATTTTTCTATCAAAGGAGCCTATATGATTTACGTTACACTGATTGGGTCAACAGAATTCATTTAACACTCAAGTGGATGCATTCTATTTCCTGCAACAGACATTCCTTTACTTGCTTTGTGGTTGAAAGTTTCAGACCATGACATTTGTATTTTTCTTTTCCTTTCTTTCTTTCTTTTCTTTTTTTTTTTTTGAGACAGAGTCTCACTCTGTTGCCCTGGGTAGAGTGCCATAGTGTCAGCCTAGCTCACCGCAACCTCAAACTCCTGGGCTTAAGCAATCCTTCTGCCTCAGCCTCCCAAGTAGCTGAGACATGAGGCATGTACCACCATGCCCAGCTAATTTTTTCTATGTATTTTTAGTTGGCCAATTAATTTCTTTCTATTTTTAGTAGAGATGGGTTCTTACTTTTGCTCAGGCAATCCTCCCGCCTCAGCCTCCCAGGGTGCTAGAATTACAGGTGTGAGCCACCGTGCCTGGTCTGTATTTTTCATTGAATGAATATTCTACAAATGAGCTATAAATGTCTAGGGAGGCAAATGAAATAATTACAATAAACTTAATAATAGTTAGCTTTGTGCTACTATAGATCAGACAGTATTAGAAGTATTTTACATGTGTTAACTCATTTAATTTTAGTATCAGTCCTGTAAAATAGGTATTATTATCATCTCCAGTTTAGAGTTGGGAAAACTGAAGGGCAGAGAGTTTAAGTGACTTGCCTAATGTCATTCTGCTAGTGGCTGGTGGATTTGAACCAGGCAGTCTGCCTTAAAGGTTCATGCTCTCAACTACTAACATATATCTCCTCTGAAGTGACAATACCTTATTTGAGTTTCAATGATTCTAAGTCCTTTTTCTAGTACAGCTGGTCTCTTACTCAATCCTCTCATTTTTTGCTGAAGTCTTTTCTCAATATCATTTTGACTTGTAACTCATTATAAATTTAACCAAGTCAATAAAAATTTTTATATTTTAAAAATGCTATCTATGTGTCATTTCTTTTAAGCAGAAAATTTAATTTCTAAGCCAGATGTGATCACCTTACTAGAGCAAGAGCAAGAGCCCTGGATGGTTGTGAGGAAAGAAACAAGCAGATGGTACCCAGGTGAGTGAGGGCAAAGCAGTCAGGGGAAGCCATCATTGTCAGGGACAGCCCTCATGGTCAGAGAGGAGTCACATCCCTGAGATGTGATTTCAAAAACTTCCTTCAAAGACTCAACGCCTGTTGGATAAAAATTCCCAAGACCTGGGAAGGAAATAAAGATCATGGCAGTAGCTATCAAAGAAACTTCATCACTTACTAATCACCTAATTTCTGTTCTTTTATTTTCATCCCCTTTTAGTGGAGTGAGTGCCCTCTTTCTTTCTTAGTGTAAACTTTTAACACATATTTTAGATCCTGCTGCTTTCCAGCTGTGGTTTTGCATTTAGATTTTTATTATGTGTTTCCATTGTCTAAAAAGTGTACTCACATATTCAGTAAATATGTGTCAAGTGCCCACTCTGCACTTGGCACTATTAATACAGTAACCTACAGATAATGAACAAGACTGGGCCTAGGTGGTGGCTCACGCCTGTAATCCAAGCACTCTGGGAGGCCGAGGCGGGAGGATCACTCAAGGTCAGGAATTTGAAACCAGCCTGAGCAAGATCGAGACCCTGTCTCTTACTAAAAAAATTGAAAGAAAGTAATTGGCCAACTAAATATATATAGAAAAAATTATCTGGGCATGATGGTGCATGCCTGTAGTCCCAGCTACTCGGGAGGCTGAGGCAGTAGGATTGCTTGAGCCCAGGAGTTTGAGGTTGCTGTGAGCTAGGCTGATGGCACGGCACTCACTCTAGCCAGGGCAGCAAAGGGAGACTGTCTCAAAAAAAAAAAAAAAAAAAAAAAAAGTGTTATAGTCATTGCTCTTGTGGAGGTTGCCTGCAGTTGGCAAGACATGGATTAAACAAGTAAGCAAATTAATAGGTGAGTAATATCAGAGAATTGTACTATAGAGACAAGTAAATAGGAGTGATGGTGTGAGAGTGACAGCATTTGGGTGGTCAGGGAACATGTCGTGAAGTGGGCATGGACTTGCACAAAGACGTGAAGCAAGGGTGGAAGCCATGTGTCAGGTGAGAACATTCCAGTCAGTCAGCAGGAAACACAGAGGCCCTGAGGGGGAAGCAGTAAGGTAGAGCAGAGTAAGTGATGGGACGGTGGGAAGGGAGGTCTGAGAATTAGGCAATGTAAGATTCTACAAGGTTTTGTTTGTCATTGTCAAGAGTTATTTATTTATTTTTAATTGATACCTAATATTTGTACATATTTGTGGGGTACATGTGATATTTTATTACATGTGTAGAATGGGTATTTAGGGTATCCATCACCTTGAGTATTTATCATTTCTATTTGATGGGAATATTTCCAGTCCTCTCTTCTGGCTATTTTGAAATGTACAGTACATTGTTGTTAACTATAGTCACCCCACTCTGCTATCAAATATTGAAAGTTATTCCTTCTGTTTAACTGTCTATTTGTGCCCAGTAGCTAACTTCTCTTCATCTCCCACCTCCCACCCACACAACCTTCTCAGCCTCTGGTATCTATTATTCTACTCTCTACTGCCATGAGATCAACTTTTTTTAGCTCCTATATGTGAGTTAGAACATGTAATATTTGTCTTTCTATGCCTGGCTGTTTCACTTAACATAATATCCTCCAGTTCCTCCATGTTACTGCCAATGATATGATTTCACTCTCTTTTTATGGCCAAGTAGTACTCCATTGTGTATATATACAACATTCTCTTTATCCATTCATCCATTAATGCAGTGGTCCCCAACCTTTTTGGCACCAGTGACCGGTTTCATGGAAGACAACTTTTCCAGGGACAGTGTGGGTGGATGGGGGGTGGAGGATGGTTTGGGGATGAGTCAAACACATTATATTTATTGTGTACTTTATTTCTGTTATTGTCACATTGTAATATATAATGAAATAATTACACAACTCACCACAATGCAGAATCAGTGGGAGCCCTGAGCTTGTTTTCCTGCAACTAGATGGTCCTATCTGGGTTGATGGGAGATAGTGACACCCAAAGTATGTTGCTTATGCCCATTCTACTCTGTAATCTCCTTTTGGTTGCTGTCACTGCAGAAAACCCTACTTGTCAAAGATAGGATGTTGGAAATGGAAGCAGGCTTTTCAATGCTTTTGTGGCATTCTCTGTGTTTTCCTGCTAAGAGCCAGGCTAGAGGAATCTTGGGAGATGAAACAAGCTGAGCAAAGCAAGAAGATAAAGGAAAGGTTATATTATGTTGTAGTTGCTAAAAGGAGGCAATGGGTAGAGATCAGGCACAAAGGATGACAGTTCCTTGAAATGAGGTCTTGTTATCTGTGGTAAGGTTTTGGATTTTATTTCAAGGGTAAAGACAAACCATTCAAAAACAGTTTGAAGTATGATCCTTAAACCTTGGTCTGAATCAGGGTCATCTGATAGAGATGTTGAAATTTAGCTTCTTAGGATTTATCCTTAAAAATTCTGGTTCTGTACATCTGAGTTGCTTGAATATCAATATTTGTAACAAGTTTACCAAATGATTTTGATTCACACCTAAATTTTACAAAGTTAACTTATTCCCCTATTACAAACATCACTGTCTTACATAAACTTTCTTCATTATTGATAGTCTTTCTTTTTCAAATCTCTGAAAGTATTTTACAGTTAGGCCATATGTTTAATGGATTTTCTATGCATGTGTGTTATAGGAAAATAAAATATGTTTGCTTTTTCTGTTTCTTTCAGATTGGGAGTCAAATTATGGAACTGAGAAAATATCTCCAGAAAATGATATTTCAGAAGTAAATTTATCCAAACAGGGTATCAAGCAAATGAGTAAAACTCTTGGTCCTGAGGCCTCCCATTTTAGAATTGACTCAAAATATGGAAGTAGATTTGAGGGGCTACAGGGACATCAAGAAGGATATATCAATCCAAGGATAATCAGCTATGAAAAAATGCTTACTTATACTCCTCATACTTCTGTTACTCATGATACAGATAAACCATATGAATGCAAGGAATGTGGGAAATACTTCAGTCGTGGTTCAAATCTTATTCAGCATCAGAGTATTCATACTGGAGAGAAACCCTATGAATGTAAGGAATGTGACAAGGCCTTTAGACTTCACATACAACTTACTCGACATCAGAAATTTCACATTGGTGAGAAACCTTTTGAATGTATGGAATGTGGAAAGGCCTTTAGTCTTCTCAACCAGCTTAATCGCCATAAGAACATTCATACTGGTGAGAAACATTTTGAATGTAAAGAATGTGGGAAGTCCTTTAATCGTAGCTCAAACCTTATTCAACATCAGAGTATTCATGCTGGTGTGAAGCCATATGAATGTAAGGAGTGTGGGAAAGGGTTCAATCGTGGTTCAAACCTTATTCAGCATCAGAAAATTCATTCTAATGAGAAACCCTTTGTATGTAAGGAATGTGGGATGGCCTTTCGATATCATTACCAACTTATTGAACATTGCCAAACTCATACTGGTGAGAAATCTTTTGAATGTAAAGAATGTGGAAAGGCCTTTACTCTTCTTACAAAGCTTATTCGACATCAGAAGATTCATACTGGTGAGAAACCCTTTGAATGTAAGGAATGTGGAAAGGCCTTTAGTCTTCTCAACCAGCTTAATCGCCATAAGAACATTCATACTGGTGAGAAACCATTTGAATGTAAGGAGCTGTCGGAAATGCCTTGATCGTAGCTCAAACTTTATTCAGCATCAGAGTATTCATGCTGGTGTGAGGCCATATGAATGTAAGGAGTGTGGGAAAGGCTTTAATCGTGGTGCAAACCTTATTCAGCATCAGAAAATTCATTCCAATGAGAAACCATTTGTATGTAAGGAATGTGGGATGGCCTTTCGGTATCATTACCAACTTATTGAACATTGCCGAATTCATAGTGGTGAGAAACCCTTTGAATGTAAAGAATGTGGAAAGAACTTTAGTCTTCTGACACAGCTTGTTCGACACCAAAACATTCATACAGGTGAGAAACCATTTGAATGTAAGGAATGTGGGAAGGCCTTCAATCGTGGCTCAAACCTTATTCAACATCAGAGTATTCATACTGGTGAGAAACCCTATGAATGTAAGGAATGTGGGAAGGCTTTTAGACTTCATCTACAACTTTCTCAACATCAAAAAACCCATACTGGTGAGAAACCTTTTGAATGTAAGGAATGTGGGAAATTCTTTCGTCGTGGTTCAAATCTTAATCAACATCGGAGTATTCATACTGGAAAGAAACCTTTTCAATGTAAAGACTGTGGGAAAGCCTTTCGACTTCATGTGCAACTTATTCGACATCAGAAATTTCATGTTAGTGAGAAACCTTTTGAATGTATGGAATGTGGAAAGGCCTTTAGTCTTCTCAACCAGCTTAATCGCCATAAGAACATTCATACTGGTGAGAAACCATTTGAATGTAAGGAGTGTGGGAAGTCCTTTAATCGTAGCTCAAACCTTACTCAACATCAGAGTATTCATGCTGGTGTGAAGCCATATGAATGTAAGGAGTGTGGGAAAGGCTTTAATCGTGGTTCAAACCTTATTCAGCATCAGAAGATTCATTCTAATGAGAAACCCTTTGTATGTAAGGAATGTAAGAAGGCCTTTAGATATCATTACCAACTTACTGAACATTGCCAAATTCACACTGGTGAGAAACCCTTTGAATGTAAAGAATGTGGAGAGGCCTTTAGTCTTTTGACACAGCTTACTCGACATCAGAAGGTGCATACTGGTGAGAAACCCTTTATATGTAAGGAGCATGGAACAGCCTTCAATTGTGGCTCAAACTTTGTTCAACATCAGAATATTCATGCTGGTGAGAAATACTGTGAATGTAAGGAATGTGAGAAGGCTTTTAGGCTTCACAACTTTCTCAACATCAAAAAACTCATCCAGGCAAGAAAACCTTTGAATGTGAGCAATGTGGGATATCCTTCAGACATCAGTACCAACATATTGAAAATCAGCAAATTCATATTGGGGTGAAACTGTATGAATGTAAGGAGTGTGGAAAGGGCTTTAGTTGTGGTACTGACCTTAGAATACATCAGAGAATCCACACTGGTGAGAAACCCTTTAAATGTCAGGAATGTGAGAAGGCCTTTCAACATCATTACCAATTTCTTGGACATTACAGAATTCATACCAGTGAGAACCCCTATGATGTAAAGAATGTGGGAGATACTTTATTTGTGGTAGAGACCTTAGAGTACATCAGAGAATTCATACTGGAGAGAAACCATATTGATGTAAAGAATGTGGGAAGGCATTTAATTGTAGCTCAAACCTTGTTCAAAGTGTTAAAATTCATACTGGTGAAAAATCCTATGAATGTAAGGAATGTGAAAAGGCCTTTAGCAATAATTATGAACTTACTGTACATCAGAGACTACATACTGGTGAGAAACCCTATGAATGTAAGGAATGTAGGAAAAATTTTAGATTTCAGTTTTTACTACACATCAGAGAATTCATACTGGCATGAAACCCTGTAAATATAAAGAATGTGGAAAGATCTTTAGTTGTAGCTCAAACCTTGTTCAACATGAGAGAATTCATACCAGTGAGAAACCCTACGAATGTAAGGAATGTGGGAAGGCCTTTAGACTTAGTTCAGCCCTTTATGCACATCAGAGAATTCATACTGGTGTGAAACCATATGAGTGTAAGGAATGTGGGAAAGCTTTTAGACTTAGTTCAGTCTTTATTGCCCATCAAAGAATTCATACAGGTCTCAAACCCTATGAATGTACAGAATGTGGGAAAGCCTTTACTGTGAATGGTCAGCTTACTCAACATCAGAAAATTGATAATGGTCAGAAGTTTTTTGAGTGTAAGGAGTGTGGACAAGCCTTCACTGTGTATGAAAAAAATTTTCAACACCAGAAATTCATATTGGTGAGAAATCCTATGAATATAAAAGAATTTGGGAAGAACTTTCATCATGAGCTAGGATTTGCTCAACTATTTGTTCATACTGGTGAGAAACCCTTTGAGTATAAGAAATGTGGGATGTTTTATAGTCACAGACACACTAAATGCCTGAGAGTTTAAAGAAGACATTCTGGTGAGAAAGTTTTTAAATATGAGGAACATAGGGTAGCAATCAATGTTTGCAATTTATTCCCCATGAAATATTTTAGTAGATGCTAGTATACCTTGATGAATTGCACATTGCAGAGACTGCATTTCATACAAATTGAAGGTTTGTAGCAATTCTGCAGCAAACAAGTTTATCAGCATCGTTTTTCCAACAGCATGTGGCCACTTCATATCTGTGTGTCACATTTTGGTAATTCTCAGGCTATTTCAACCTTTTCACTATTATATCTATTATGGTGATCTGTGATCAGTAATCTTTGATAGTACCACAAACCATGATCATAAAAGGCACTGAACTTAATAAACATTGTGTATGTTGAAAGAATAGTAAAATATACACCCATGTAACCCCACCTAGATTCAAAATAGTTAACAGTTTGCTACATTTGTTTTATTTTTGTGTATTTTTGTTGTACCATTGAGAATAAGTTTTAGACATTGACATTTTACCTCTTATTACATCAGTATATTTCTCCCAGTCATAAAGACAATACCATATATAGCTATAGTATCATAATTACTCCTAAGGAAATTACTCATCATTCTATAATATGACATATTCAGATTTCTTGTTTAGCCCCTAAAAAGCCCATAACAGCTATTTACTTTCTAAGGAGAGCCCATTCCAGATTCTGCATTACATTTGGTTATCTCTTTAGTGTCTTGTAGTCTGGAACAAATTTTTGTGGGTATCAGAATGACTTGTAGAACTTGGCAAAAATACAGAGGTCCAGGCCCTAGCCTATGAGCCTCAGCCTCTGTGTTATAATTTTCTAAGTATTTTTCAGGTTTTGATATTGCAGTGATCTTATAAAACTTGGCTTTTGAATCTCACGTTCCTTTTTTTTTTTTTTTTTTTTTACAGTTTAATCTGTTCTGTGTTGATTTGTTCTCTTTGACCTTCATCTTTGGAGTCAACCGGTTCCCTGAGTATCCACCCATCATAATTCCTTTGAGAGAGTCATTGCACACCTGGTAGTCTCATCAAGGATTACCATAAAATAGCAAGCCCTGGTTGCCTTCCTAAATGCAATCTTGGCAATGCTATGTTGGGAAGTCAGAGATCCTTTGCAAAATTAATGAAGCACTTTAAAATATTTGCTAAAAATTACAAGATTATAATTCTTTAAATCACCTAATACTTTTAAAAGTAGAAAAGGCATCCATAAAATGTTTTGTTACTTACAAGATCAGTAAACATTAAATCCATTTACAAAAGTAATTTTCTCAATTTTAATTCCCGTTTTTCTTTATTCATATATATGCTTATTCATGTTATTCTTATCTCTTCACATTGCCTTTTCAGGGTTTTAATAATTGTACAGTTTGGTCTTTATTATGCTGTTAATATTTTTACTTGTCCCCAAAGAAAGACATACAATCAAATAAAAAGTTATAGGGCCTTGAATTAGATTATGATGTCAAGGTGACCCTGAGTAACGGTTATTAAGCTCTTTAAATTTTTAGTAACAGATTTACCAAAATGGAATGGGTCAGTTAAATCATGTTTCTTTTGGTATACATTTAATTATATAATCCCCTTAAGTTGTGCTTGGTTAGCAGTTCACCTGTTGTCTGTTATACATTTATATATTTAACTGGTCTGTTACATTTATTATGTATTTATGTATTGCTTAATATTTTATTAGAGGAACAAGTTTTTAAAACAATTTTATAAATTTCATCGCCTAGGACAAGAGGATTAAATATGTGTTCTTAGTCTTTAGGACATTTGGGTATTTTATTATTTTGAAGTGGTATTGAATACTTCATTTATTTGGTTTTTGAGTATGGCCTTCACTCTTAAGCATGGATTTTTATTTAGAACTCATTTTATCTGGCTAATGTGAGTTACGATTAGCCACTACTAGTACGGATGCATTTTTTTCCTCATTCCTGGTATATTACCTGTTCCAGAATTATCTGGCTTACTCAAATTTCCCTGTCTTTATTCCATCCTGCTTTTATGGATGAATACAAATAGATAATGGTACTCTTTAATCAAACATAAAGTTGAGGCCGGGCGTGGTGGCTCACGCTTGTAATCCTAGCACTCTGGGAGGCCGAGGCAGGTGGATTGCTCAAGGTCAGGAGTTCAAAACCAGCCTGAGCGAGACCCTGTCTCTACTATAAAAATAGAAAGAAATTAATTGGCCAACAAATATATATATATAAAATTAGCCGGGCATGGTGGCGCGTGCCTGTAGTCCCAGCTACTCGGGAGGCTGAGGCAGGAGGATTGCTTGAGCCCAGGAGTTTGAGGTTGCTGTGAGCTAGGCTGACGCCATGGCACTCACTCTAGCCTGGGCAACAAAGCGAGACTCTGTCTCAAAAAAAAAAAAAAAAAAAACCATAAAGTTGATGGGAAAAATGCTCATAAACAGCTCTTAACTATTATCAACAGTAAATTAGGCTGGGTGGGGTGGCTCGTGCCTGTAATCCTAGCACTCTGAGAGGCCCAGGTGGGCAGATCACTCAAGGTCAGGAGTTCGAAACCAGCCTGAGCAAGAGAGAGACCCTGTCTCTACTAAAAATAGAAAGAAATTAATTGGCCAACTAAAAATATATAGAAAAAATTAGCAAGGCATGGTGGTGCATGTAGTCCCAGCTACTTGGGAGGCTGAGGCATGAGGATCGCTTGAGCCCAGGAGTTGGAGGTTGCTGTGAGCTAGGCTGACGCCATGGCACTCTAGCTCTGGCAACAGAGTGAGACTCTGTCTCAAAAAAACAAACATAAAAAAACTCCACCTCTGACTGTTTAAAAATAACTCATTAAAAAAAGAAAAAAAAGCAGTAAATTAAACATGTATTCTTAATTACAATTTATTTTTGTAAAATTTATAGGCATTTATCTTTTGAGTATGATATGCTAGAAGTATAATTATATCTTTTGAGTATTAGTATGAACATACTTTTGAACATACTTTTTCCAGTTAAGTACTATAAAGATGGTCCCTGACTTAACAATTGTTTGACTTAGGAGTTTTCAATTTTATCATGGTGCAAAAGTGATATGTTACTATAGTTTGGATATTTGTCCCCTTTAAATCTCATGTTGAAATTTGACCCCAGTGTTGGAGGTGGAGCCTAATGAATGGGAGGTTTGGGGTCATGGGGGCAGATCCATCATGAATATTAATACCTTCCCTAGGTGGTGGTCAGGTGAGTTTTCACTCTGTTTTCAGAGCTGGTTGTTAAAAAGAGCCTGCACCTGCCTCATCATACTTCACCCAAAGTAATATGACCAGAACAATCATGGATTTTTTTGTATGCTTATTGGATATTGGTATATCTTTTGTAGAGTGTCTTTTTTGATCTTTATCCCATTTTTTTGTTTTTATTTACATCCTATTGTTTGAATTCTTTGTATATGCTACATATCCTCTTTTTGGATATAGGTATTGTGAATATTTTATTTCAGTCTGACTTATTTTCATTTTCCTAATGGTGTCTTTTGATGAGAAGTTTTTAGTTTTATCAAAGTTAATTTTAAAATTTTTCTATAGGTTAAAGCTTTCTGTCTCCTCCATGGTAACACAGATATTATCATTTTATTCTATAAGCTTTATACTTGTAACTCTTACTTGTATCTATGATCCACCTCAAATTAATGTTTTGTGTATGGTATAAGGTATAGATTGAGCTTAAATTTCTCTGCCAAGTTTATCCAGTTTCAGCATCACATGTGGAAGGAACTCTCCTTTCCCCCATTGGCCTACTTTGGAGTTTTTTAAGGAAAATTCCATGACTATATAAGTGTAGGTCTACTTCTTGATAATTTATTTTGTTGCATTTATCTACTTGTTCATTATGCATTGTCTTTATTGTTCCAGCTTCATGGGGAATCTTGAGTTTAGGCAGTGTCAATTCTCAGCTTCATTCTTTTAAAATATTGTCTTAGCTATTCTAAGTTCTTTACATTTCCACATGTTTTACAATCAACTTACAAATTTCTACAAAAATGCCTGTTGGGATTTTGATTGGATTCCATTGAATCCTTACATCAATTTGAGAACTGACTTCTAAACTTTGGGTTTTATCATCCATGATTATGGTATATGTTTCCATTTATTTAGGCCTGCTCTAGCTTCTCTCAACAAAACTGTGTAGTTTTTGGGTAATAGTCCTGCATGTGTTTTGTTAAATATATTTGTAAGTATTTTATGTTCTTTTTAAGTGGAACTTTTTAAATTTCATTTTTAGTTGTTTGCTGTGGTATAAAATTTCATTTTTTGGTATATTTTCCTTGAAACTACCATTAAAAATCCTTCCCACAAAGAAAACTCTATGCTCAGATGGCTTCAATGGGAATTTGACCCAAGATTTAAGAAACAAATATAAATCTTACAATATCTCTTTCAGAAAATACAGAAAGAAGAAACATTTCCCATCTCATTTTATGTCATCAACACATACTAAAACCTGAGAAAAATATCATAAGGAAAAATTACATACCAATATCAGTAAACATACACATAAAAATTCCCCCAAAATAAGGAGCAAATGGAATTTTGCAATATGTATAGAGGATAATACATCATGACCAAGTGGGGGCATACTCCAGTAATGTGAGGCTGGTATGACATTCTAAAATTAATCAAAGTAATTCACCATATTAAAGAAGGATAGAAAGCAAAAGATCATGCCAATAGTTATTACAATGGACAAAATTCAATACCACTCATGATAAAACTCAGTAAGTTAGTAAAACAAAAATTTCCCAATCTGATAAACAATATCTATGAAAAATAAACAGCAAATAAAACTTTATGATAAAATATTGATTGCCTTTTCACTAAAGTTAAACTCAAGGTAAGGATGTTTGCTCTGAAGCTTTTATTTAACATTACAGGATGTCCTAACCTGTGCAGTAAAGAAAACAAAGGAAAGAAAAATTTAAATGGGACTGTCTTCTCAGATGTCCTGATCATGTGTATAGAAAATTCTAGGTAATCTATAAAAAGTAAACTTTTCTAGAACTAAGTGAATTTAGCAAGGTCATAAAATACATCAATATATAAAAATTCAAATATTTTAAAGACAAGTTGTTTCTAGTTTTTAAAGAACGCTATAATTCTAAAATCTAATCAATAAAAGGAAGAAGAAACCATAATGCTGCCTCATATGATTATAGGCAGAAAAATTCTAAAGTATCACCAAGTGGACTATAGGAATGTGACAAAAAATCAAAACCACAGTATAAGAAATGGTTACAAATAAAGAAAAAGTACAAATCAATACATCAATACATTTTAGGAGAAAAAAGATTATAGCAGCAGGTAACAAAATGGCCTTGGACAAAATTTAGTAGTCATTGCCACTAGGTTAACAGTCACTACCAAAGTAGACATCCTTCCTCTTCCCCACATATATTGAAGGACATTTAAAGACAGCAAAGAGAATTTATCCCTAAATGAGGAGTGGACATTATAAGTGATTAAATTTTGGGAAATTTTCCATTAAATTTGGAGAAACAGATACCTGCTATCACCATTATATCCAACTATGCTTTGGAGATTCTAGCTATTGCAATAAGAAAAAGTAATAAATATAAATATTGGAAAATAAAATTTTATTTACAGATTACATCGTTGATAATGTATACATCTTAAAAGTGTCTCATAAAAATAGAATGAACATTCAGACTATATTCAATGTAAAGGGAAAAAAATTGCATCAATATAATGAAGTATCCAGAATGACATTCAAGTCAACTAAAAAAACACACACAGAACAAAAATATTGGAGAAAGCCAAGAATAGGAGTCAAAGTAAAGGAATGATTATTGGCCAATAAATATTTGGAAAATGCTCAAATGAAAATTTAGAAATATACATACATATGAAGACATACCTAAAGGCTATAGGGATATTCAATTTATCAGTTAACAGGAGTCTAAGAGAACAAGTTGGCAATATCTAGTAGAGTTGGAAGTATATATAACCTATGATTAATTTAGCAATATCTAACATAACTGAAAGAGTAATGTATGAGCAATTGCACTTACATGTATATACAATTGCAGACATTTCAGTTTATGTAAAGCAACGATCACAGACAAGGATATTCATTGAAATATATTTGAAATAGTGAAAATTTAGTAAAATAAATACTCATCAATAAGAGGTTTAAACACCTTGTAGGATGTTCATATTTTAAAAACTGGGCTGGCAATTAATTCCAGGAAAGATATGACCAGCAGAGAAACACACCATGCATTTCCTTCCCCAGCATAGCTAAGCATCTGCCATTGCATCTGAATATTCCATTATTATGGTTATAGCAGTATTTCCAGTGTGGGTTCACATCCCAAAGATATTAGATATTCTGAATGAGACTTCCTTAGTAAAGTTTATCATACACTGGGATAAATAAAGTTAAGTAAATGATAATACGCATTTATTTTTTAAAAAAGGAGTTAGGGCTGGGTGTGGTGGCTCACGCCTGTAATCCTAACAATCTGGGAGGCTGAGGCAGGTGGATCGTTTGAGCTCAAGGGTTTGAGACCAGCCAGAGAAAAAGCAAGACCCTGCCTCTACTAAAAAAATAGAAAGAAATTAGCTGGACAACTAAAAATACACAGAAAAAATCAGCTGCGCATGGTGGCGCATGCCTGTAGTCCCAGCTACTCGGGAGGATAGCTTGAGCCCAGGAGTTTGAGATTGCTGTAAGCTAGACTGATGCCATGGCACTCTAGCCCAGGGAACAGTGAGACTCTGTCTCAAATAAAAAAAAAAAAAAAAAAGGAGTTATTCAAAATTTCATAAGCCTGTGTGGCCACATAATATGTTTCAAGTACCATTAAGTATTATTGTTCCCAGAGACATTCTTGTGGATATGTTGAGTTAAGGAACTGGTACCTTGGAAGAATAATCCACTGATACATTAACAACATTTTGCTTTACTTTAGGTCCTCAAATACTCTGCTTTTTGTTACACCTAATTATTGTCACATAGAAAATTAATTTGCAAATGTTGAGCAAATTAGACAGCAAATAACTTGTACAATGGTGTATTATGGCTGTCTTGAAAGAAACATTTAACTTTTCAGCAGAGAAACCTGGTGAATGAAGTATTTCAGTTGTCTATTGCTGTGTAACAAACTGCTCCCAGATTTAGTGGCTTAAAGAGTATTTATTTTACTCATAAACCTGCAATTTGGGCAGGCTCACGGGGGAAGGCTTGTCTCTGCTTCACTTGGCACCAGCTGGGAAGCTCTGAGGCTACGAGAATCATCTGAATGCTCACACACACATACCCAGTGCTTGAAGCTGGCTGTTACCTAGGAACTAAACTAGGGCTGTAGTCAAGACACTTACTTAGCTTTTCTGTGTGGTTACTTGACATCTTCATAGCACAGTGGCTGGACTTCAAGGGTAAGCATCCCAAGTGGATCAGGCAGAAGCTGTACTGCCTTTTGTGACTCAGTCTTGGAAATCACATAGTGTCACTCCTACCATAAACACAAGCCTGTCTGCCCAGATTCAAAAGGAAGGACCATGATCCTTACATCTTGATGAGGGAGGGTCAATATTACATTGTAAGGTGAACGTGTAGCATGGGATATATTGGTATGGTCATTTTTGGAAAGCACATTCTGCTACACCAAGTCAATGAATGTAGGATAACATAGTGGTATAATATGACATTGTATGCCACCTAATGGGTTACAAATTGAAATATAAAATATCCCCTATTAAGTAATCTTGCTAAAAGATTTGATGTACACTTAATTGGCTCTCTACTCCTAACTTCCAGTTCATGGGAAATACTGGGGATAAAGGTGCACATTTAAAAACACTTTGGAAAAACAATGACAAAAATCCAGAATGTGACATTCTACAAGTATCCTAAACTCTTAAAAAGTCAATGTTGGAAAAAGTTGCCTGGATAAGGATGCAAGGGTGGGTAGCACTGTTCTTTATTTAAAAAAGAAACTAACAATGCATAACCAAATGCAATTCATGAACTTATTTTAGTTCCTGAATTTCAAAAATAACCCATGACAATCATTCTTCACATAATTGAGAAAATATGGACTGAATATTACAGATTATGAAATGATTGTTAATCTCCTTAGGTGTGAAGCTCTATGGTAATTAAGTAGAAGGCAGCCTTTATTATTAGGAGAGGTCATGGTGTCTACAATTTATACTCAAATACGACAGTAAAAATATGTAAATCTTATGTAGAAGCAAACCAAATATGACAATATATATTAACAATTGCTGAATCAGAGAGAACATACCAATGTTCAATGTACTATTTTTTTTAACTCTTCTAAATGGACAGTGGTCTTTTGGTTGTTAGTTTCTAACTTACAATGAATTGTGGGCAAAAAAGCAGATTGTGACAGAGCTGCTTTTTTGATTATGAAAAGGAAAAACATTATAGCTCTCTATAATTCTTCAAAAGCTCTCATAATCTTCACACTCATCAAATATAGAGAATTCTTCCTCACATTAATTTTCAGAGATGAATTCTGATTTTAGAAGTGGAAGTTTACTGTATTTCATTAGACTTTATCTACACTTAATTATCCAAATTTGAGCAAAAGGTAATGAATGTTTTTTACAAACTCCTTATATCCACAAGGTCTTTTACATGAATTTACTAACAGTATCACTAATGATCAAAATGATAATATTTACTGAGCACATGCTGTGTGCCAAATAGTCTTCTAAAGGTTTTATTTTTTATTAGCATTTCATCACAAAAATACTATTAGGAAGGTACTATTATTACTATTTTAAAACCAAAGCAGAGAAAGGCTTTGCCAAAACCCACACAGGCAGAGGTGGAATTATGAGAATTACAGCAAAGATGTGCCATGGCTCTAGTTTCTCCCACATTCATTATATTAATAGAATCATTTTTCTGTTACAGTGCTATATAAAGTGTGGTCCAAGTGCTGACACTGGCCCACAATTGCTTTTGGCCTGCACTGAGTTAAGATACAGAAGCTGAGAGCAAGTATTTAGAAACTTTCCAGCAATTTGAGAGCTAATTTATGTCAGTTAAATTCAATAATCAAAAATTGGGGCTTTTATTTTGTATGTGAGGTTTTCTTTCTATTCCATTTTTCTGGTAATCCAATACCACTGCATTTTATGTTCAACAACAGTTTGTAGAAGAAAAAGTCCTTGATGGTTTGACATGCACCACACCAATATCAATCTGCCAGTTTAACCAGGATTGAGTGATGCTACAGTTTTTCAATTCTTTAAATTAACATGTAAAGCCATTTCTGTTCAATTGTGAGCATGAAGCAAAAGGGATTCCCATGTTCCCTATGAATTAAAAAATTTCTCAAATTATGAATTCTCTGCTATTGTAAAAGGCATTTTCTAAACACCATTGTATTATCTTTACATTATGCATAGGGTTTCCTCATGAATATGATTTCTCTGATGTAAAGTAAGTTGATCACTACGAATAAAGGCTTTCCCACATTCTTTACACTTATAGGGTTTTTCACCAGTATGAATCCTGTGATGTCGAGTAAGTTCCGAATTAACACTAAAGGCCTTCCCACATTCTTTACATTTATAGGGTTTCTCACCAGTATGAATTGTGTGATGTCGAGTAAGTTCTGCCTGAAGGCGAAAGGCATTCCCACATTCTTTACACCCATAAGGTTTCTCACCAGTATGAAGTCTAAAATGTTGAGTAAGATGATACCGACGACTAAAAGTCTTTCCACATTCCTTACATTCGTATGGAATCTCACCAGTGTGAATTCTTTGATGTAAGGTCAATTGGTAACTACAAATAAAAGCATTCCCACATTCATTACATATGTAGGGTTTCTCACCAGTATGGATTCTGTGATGTTGAGTAAGATGATAGTGACGACTAAAGGTCTTCCCACATTCCTTACATTCATAGGGTTTCTCACCAGTATGAATTCTGTGATGTTGAGTAAGATGATTGCTACGAATAAAGGCTTTCCCACATTCTGTACACTTATAGGGTTTTTCACCAGTATGAATTCTGTAATGCTGAGTAAGTTCTGTTTGAAAACGAAAGTCCTTTCCACACTCTTTACATGTATAGGGCTTTTCACCAGTATGAATTTTATAATGTTGAGTGAGATTATAGCGACGACTAAAAATCTTCCTGCATTCTTTACATTCATAGGTATTCTCATTGGTATGAATTCGCTGGTGTGTAAGAAGTTGATTACTACGAATAAAAGCCTTCCCACATTCCTTACATTCATAGGGTTTCTCACAAGTATGAATTCTGTGATGTCGGGTAAGTTCTGCTTGAAGACAAAAGGCTTTCCCACATTCATGACATATGTAGGGTTTCTCACCAGTATGAATTCTGTAGTGTTGAGTAAGACGATAGCGACTACTGAAGGTTTTCCCACATTCCTTACATTTATAGGGAATCTCACCGGTATGAGTTCTCAGATGTAAAGTAAGGTGATAGCCACAAATAAAGGCCTTCCCACATTCCTTACATACATAGGGTTTCTCACCAGTATGAGTTCTATGATGCCGAGTAAGTTCTGTTTGAAGACGAAAGGCTTTTCCACATTCTTTACATTCATAAGGCTTCTCACCAGTATGAATTCTATGATGTCGAGTAAGTCCTGCATGAAAACTAAAGGACTTACCACATTCTTTACATTCATAGGGTTTCTCGCCAGTATGAATTTTCTGATGTTGAACAAGGTATGAGCTATGACTAAAGGCCTTTCCACATTCATTACATTTATAAGGTTTTAAACCAGTATGAATTTTCTGATGTTGACTAACATGTCGCTGTACCCTAAAGGCTTTTCCACAAATCTTGCATTCATAAGGCCTCTCACCAGTGTGAATTCTTTGATGTTCAGTAAGCTGATAATGAAGTCTAAAGGCCTTTCCACATTCTTTACATTCATAAGGTCTCTTCCCAGCATGAATTGTCTGATGTACTCTCAGGTCTCTAATTTGACTAAAGGCTTTCCCACATTCCTTACACACATAGGGTTTTATACCAGAATGTATTCTTTGATGTTCAGTAAGGTGATAATGAAGTCTAAAGGCCTTCCCACATTCTTTACATTCATAGGGTCTCTCACCAGCATGGATTGTCTGATGTACTCTCAGATCTCCCACTCGACAAAAGGCCTTTCCACATTCCACACATTTATAGGGTCTCTCACCAGTGTGAATTCTCAGATGTTGAATAAGGTATGAATGTTGTCTGAAGGCCTTCCTACATTCCTTACAATTATATGACTTCTCTCTAGTATGAATTTTCTGATGTAGAGGAAGAGATATTGGTTTTTGGATTATCACTTCACTAATGCATCCCATCTGATGTCCCTCTTGTTTCTCAAATTCATGTTTGTCCTGCAAATCATTTCTGAAAATGGTGTCCTCGTGGATGTAAGTTTTACTTTTTTCCACTGTCTGCAATTGAGATAAATACATTTCATAAACATCCTTTTCTGGAAATAAATTCTTGGTGACATACTTACACTCCAAATCTGCAAAATACAAAAAACAAAAAGCAAACAAATGCTGTAATGCTATTTTTCTGTGGGATGTGGAGGTTGCACCTTATAGTAGAAATAAAAGATAAACGGAAATAACACACATTAGAAGTAAAAGGTTTAGGGCAGGAGTCAACAAAACTTTTCTGTAAAGGACCAGATAGTAAATATTTTAGGCCTTGTTAGGCATATATCTCTGTCACAATTACTTAGCTCTGCTCTTATGGCACAAAAGCAGCCACAGACAATATACAATTGAATGAGCATGGTAAAATGGTTCTCAAAAGGGAAGAAAGAAAGCAACTCTTTTTTGAAATGGGAGGGAAATATGACAGCAGAGAAATAGGCAAATGGGGGTCAAGTTCCCTTGGTAGCTCGTGTTGAAAGAATCTTAATGTTTTCCTGGTTTCAGCCCTTTCTCCATAGGCCTTGGGCCTTTGAAGGGAGCTTTCCAAACAACATCTCAGGATATGCTTCATCCCTGATCTAGTGGACTGTAACTTGTGATGGCATTCCCCTGCTTGATTTGCTATCACTCACCTGGGTACCAATTTCTTGTCCCTTCTCTCATTACCACCCAGGGCTCTTTCTCTTGCTCCAATAAAGTAATCACATCTGGCTTAGGAATGGCACATCCTGTTCATGAGAAAAAATATGACACATTATAGAAAAAAACCCAAACACACCCCAAAACAAATATAACTTTGAAATGACTTAATTCAGACTCGTTTACATTTATAATAAACTGTAGGTCAAAACAGTACTTAATAAAGCCTTCACAGTAAAGAAGAAGGCCACTGAAGAATATTCACACTAAGATGGACTCACGATTACGGGATTAAAGAGACGAGGAAAGAGGGAAAAGGTTTGCTCTGCTTTTAAAGGTAGTGTAGAGAGGAGTTGCAAGCGAATACTCTGAAGCCCTGTGGCCTGGGTTCAAATCTTCTGCCACCTATGAGCTGTGTGACTTTGAAAAGTTACTTACCTTCCATATATTGTTGCACTTTTATCAAATGCAAAATGGGACTAATATTATCTACTTCATAGGGTTATTGTGAGAATTAAATGAATTAATATATGTAAAGGCTTAAAAGGATACCTAGTATATAGTATTATTTTGTTGTAGATGTCACTATTTTGCTAGGAGAAATCTAAGTTTCCTAAAATACTTCCAGGTTTTTCCTTAGATATTCCTTCAACAGAAAATGCAAAATTCACAGACTGTAACTTTCAACCACAAAGCAAGTTCAAGAGAATATGTCTCTTCTAGAACGAGGTGTGTTTGCTTGAATTTTAAATGAGTATTTATTAACCTAATCCACCCCTATATAAACCATAGAGGCTCTTTTGATAGTCAAAGAAAACCAGAACCCTGAGACTAGCTGTTTTCTTGCAGGTAAGCCAGACATTAACACAGAGTAGCTGTAGGAATTCTGTAGGAAATCTTAGTTTCTTGAAATCTAGTTTCTTGAAAATGTTGCACTACTCAAATCTGAGAATCATTTAGAAAAACAGGCAATCACAGGCCAGAGGGAAGAGCGAAAAGAGGGGGAATGTGAAGATGCACTTTAACCCAGGTGCCCATTTCCAGCCTAACAATGTTTAAACTACTTCTTTAGAAATAGGGGGCAGAAATTCAGTTGGCTTCTGAAAACAGTGTTTTGAAATTGAACAGTGGAGAAAGCTGACATTCCAGAAAACAGCCTGTAAAGCACTTGGGCAGATACCTTACCCAGTGAGAGCAGGTTGCTGTAATTCTCCAACATCACGTCCTTATACAAGTCTCTCTGCACAGGGTCCAGGCACTCCCACTCCTCTTGGGAAAGGTCTATGGCCACATCCCTGAAAGCCAAGGACACCTGAAATGACAAACCTATGTATTATAAAAGAAAAATTTTAATGTGTTTTCAAGATGGAAAACTGCTTTGCAGGAAAGCAGCAAGTAAACTGGGGTTCAAGCCTGCGATATTTATGGAAGAATAAGAAAACTAGTATTTAAGAAATACGGCGCTAAGATGCTTTTGATGCAAATTAAATGAAATAGCATAAATAAGCACATTATGTGCCTGGGTTTTAAGTTCTGAATAAATGTGAGTTTCATCATCCTCTCTTCAAGGAATATTTTCTTCAATAGAATTTTCCCCAAAAAAGTACTCTAAAATTTCTATGTGATTTCATTGAACTCAGGTTCTTATCATGTAAGATAACATCCATCTTGTGGGTACATCAGACTACTCCTTTTATGCTTAGGCATTTAGGTGGGACAGAATGCTTAAGGTCTTCCCCAATCCTGGGGGCCTATTTTCATCCATCATTAGGGATCTAGAGGATCTTCCTACCTACTACCCCCACTGTCCCTCAGGAACGCTTGCCTTATTCCTAAGCTAGAGGACAATGATGTAGAATGATCCACAATGACACTGATGTCACTGGAGACCAGCACAACCTCTTCAACCACAAACCTGAATTTTGTCCTATTGTTCATCCCTCAGGGATCCCCTGGCTAGATCCCTGAAAACACCACATAGAGGCCCCAACCACATTTCAACCTGGTTCTCTAAGCCTCTCAATGCACGAGATCTCACCTCTTCTTCTGGGGCTGACATGGAAGACAGTGTTTGAGTCATCTGCGATGGCAAAACACTCACCACTAAATTCCATCCTACACCCTCAAAGCTCAGGTCTGTGGAGTCTAATGGGACTACCATCTCTATACCATAGAATCAGGACTCTGATGATGGAAGCTCCAATATTTCCCTTGAGATACTTCATCTTTCACTGCTCGGTCAGTGCTCCTGAGAGAAGACGTGGCAGATGTATGAAAAACGAATAGGTGAACACAGGTAAGAGAAGAGAGGGGCAAATGTGGAGGACACTAGGCTGTTTAGCAGCATCCTTCACTGTGATCGGAGTAAGTGGAAAGCAGGTTCACCAACAGGGTTGTCTTAGGAAGGAAGGATCAGGATAATAAAAATGATCACATGAATTTAAAAACATAGTATTTCAAATAAATAGAATTACAAACTTACATGGGCCATGGTTTTAGAACTGTATCAACTTGTCAGTTTTCCTTGGACTTCCTCAATTAGAGCAGCATAGAGTTCAGAAAAGCCAGGGCTGAGGAAGGAACAAGTGACTTTGAGACCAGATGTGGCTAAGAATTCCCAAAATGATTTATGTTAATATGATCCTGTTTTTACTTCATTTCTACTTACAACCCCATACAAACTAGGAGAGACAACAAGGAGTCTGGATAAAGCCACACCCTTCCTATACCATGGGGAACCACCTGAGCAAGCGTAGATACTGAGCAGAGGCCTCCTGCATGGAGCCAGATCAGACATTCCAGCAGAAAGGTTTCTGGACCACCCCAGTTTCTGATGATGCTGATCTGTGGCTGAGACTAAATTGTTAAGTCCTGCCCTGAGCAGATCCTCTTCCGTCCATGCCCACTTTAGGGCTGAGAAGGGGCTGCCCCCTCCAAACCCGAACATCATTCATGGCTTGGGAATATGCCCACACTCTGCAGACATGAAGGCAGAAAACAGCAGGCAGCCTTTCCCACTGAAAAACTGCACTTGCCAGAATCATAGCCCCCAGAATCTTCTGTATCCAACCAACCTCTATTTCCTAATCAGGATCATCTAAACTCTTTCCTGCATGAAGTCACTGACCACCCCAGTATCTGAATATCAAGGCTGAGAGGTGCGAATTTATGCCGATGGTTGCTAATTTATGTCATGGTTGCCCATGACAACAACAAAAATAGATATTTTTAGGATCTTCCACATGAAGATCCCTATATCACATTAACATTTAATCATGTGATGTAGTTATCTCCATTCAACAGATGAGGTAATGGAGGCTCAAAGTAAAGTTCCTTGCCCCAATCCCCGGTTAGTAAGAGTCAGAGCTGTGTTTGGAATCCACATTTCTCTAAATATAAAAGCCAATTCTCTTTCAACTCTGGCTTTTGTCTCTGAAGCCCAGGATTTCTTTAAGTGAAACCTGAGTATGGGTAATTCGCTAAAAATAGCAAGACAGACTCTCTGTGTCCTTTTAATGATCAATTAGTGCAATTCCTATTCTGCAGGAAGAAAAGTACACACACATGCACACACATACATACATACACACAGGAAAAATCTTGCTAAAATATAAAATTTTGCTAAAATATACTATTTCCCCAAAATATTAACAGTGATGCTGGGGCTATTTTACCTTTCTTCCTTATAAGCCCCTTATGTAACATAACTGAATAACTGAATTGTTTGTAAAAAGTGAGCATTAATTCCATAATCAGAAGTACACAATAAATCTAAACCCAATTATAAAATAAAATTTTTTAACATGTTGGAAGCAAATTGGTTTGACATGTGGAGACAGTAAGGAAATCAGTGTGACCACTATAAATAATGCCTACCAGTTCCTGAACATGAATTCTTCTTCAATTCAACAAGGGCTTTTCACTATTAACATTCTTCTCTGAACACAAGTCAGGTGAGCACCATGTGCAGTCTGAATAAGAAAATTTGTGCAAAGCAGACGGAACAGTATTTGGTTCTCCTCTATTTCCCCGAGTATCATTTTGGGTTTTTTTGTTTGTTTGTTTGTTTGTTTTGAGACAGAGTCTTGCTTTGTTCCCCAGGCTAGAGTGAGTGCCATGGCATCAGCCTAGCTCACAGCAACCTCACACTCCTGAGCTCAAGCAATCCTGCTGCTTCAGCCTCCCGAGTAGCTGGGCCTACAGGCATGCACCACCATGCCCAGCTAGTTTTTTCTATATATATTAGTTAGCCAATTAATTTCTTTCTATTTATAGTAGAGACGGAGTCTCGCTCTTGCTCAGGCTGGTTTCGAACTCCTGACCTCAAGCAATCTGCCCACCTCGGCCTCCCAGATGGCTAGGATTACAGGCGTGAGCCACTGCACCCGGCCTGAAGTATCATTTTGGATCTAATCCTTGTTAAATGTCTTTAAATTCCAATGCCAGTGAATAAGGTTAATATAAAATTTAAAATTCGAATATTATTGTTTATCACTGTATTACTTTTGCTGGGAACTTTCATCCTATAGCTCAATATTTGACTTCCCTCATATGTACTTTTTTTCCCCCTTATGACTAACTGTTTATAAACATAAATCTCAACTCTTTGATTCCCTGGAAAAAAGCTTGCTCATATTCACACAGATTTCTATCCTCAGACTTTTAATCACATTCCCAATCCTAAAATCCTTACAAAGCAGATGATTGTTACCACTTACCGACACCAGCGAAACCATCTCTGATCCTGTCATACTTTTTTAAACTGAGGTCTTTGGAGAAGATCAATGATGTGTTTCTACCTAAACATTAATCTCAATAAAACAAAGTTTTAACTTTAGATTCCAGGATAGGCATTTCTCTACCATTATAAAACATGACTGCAGAGGAATGATTTGAACAGGAGAAAGGCATTTGGAAGCCAGTGAAGAAAAGGAGCCATCTGCGTGGTCCATCATTCACTAGAAAGGAAGGCCTAGGACAGGTCACTGGACGTTTCAGGAAAAGAAAAGCAAATGTTTCCATGTAGTAAGAACAAAAATGCATTTTACGAACAAAGAGGAAACATAAATTCACCTGGATGTGGACTTTTAGACGTGCTACACAATTTTTCCCTCCTCTTCACGATCGATCTTTATTTTGACGAATGGCAGGATTGGGGAAGAAGGAAATCATGAGACAGTAGGCCTTTCTTACAGCACACGGCGACCTAGAATATCCCCGCCAGGGCCACATCTGCCTTGACGTCACACACATAACCAGATGTGGGAGGGAGGCTGGAATCTGTCTCTGAATTCTCAGCAAATTTCTAGGATCAGAGGGGAATGATGTGGCTCTGAAAAATGTGACTGCCACACAGCGGCTCCAAGTGGGAACCCGTCCATCATGTTGTTCCGGGATCCTGTTTCAGGGACACTTCTACTCAAAAGTCCAATCTCAAACAGGTCTGTGCCTTCCTGCGGGGACGTTCATCCTAGAGCTCAAATTTTACTTTCCCCTTGGGGACGTTGTGCATTTATCAGGGACGGTGAGGGGAGGGAGTCAGTGACACACACCCATGAGTCAGGCGCAAGTCTCAGCCTCACACCCGCTCCCACCGTCACAAAGGCCCAACCCGGCCCTGACAGGCGCACGGTCGCGCGCGTCCACACACATACACAGACTGCCACACTTGGTCACCCAATCCCCCTCCTCTGCTCCTCACGCACTCACAGGCCCGAGGCTCCCTCCGGGCACGCCACGCCGTGTCCGCGCCCCGGTGCTCCTCACTTTGGGTGGCAGCCTATTCCCAACGCTGCCCCCCGAGTCCCGCTTCCCCTCACCTAGATAGATCCGACTCCTCGCTCGGCTGCAACTAACTCGCCCCGCGCGGCTACACCGGCGAGAACGCACCGGAAGAGGCCCGCGGGGTCCAGGCTGACTCTGCCCGTGGGGCTTCTGGGAAATGTAGTCCATCGCCGGATGCCGGTTCGCTCGGGCGCAGGCGCGCGCCGATCTCGCGGCTCTGCGGGACAACCAAGGAGCCGGGGCGGGGGACTGAGGAAGGGAACCTACACCCCGCGAGCTGTCTGGGCTACGCAAGCGCGCCAGGCAGCCTGAAGTGCGCAAACTTCGAGAACATCTGCGGGTGCCACCCTGAGCTGAGTGCGTGAGCTGTCGGGCGCCAGCTCCGCAAGGTGGAGTTTTGTCTATTTTTCTTCCAGGGAGTCTCAGCGCTTGGTATACAGCAGGGGCTCAATATGTGTATTTTAAATAAGAGTACCGGGCTGTTCGAGCATGTGTGTCACTGTGAGGGTTGCGGGACCAACTGAGCCTCGCTGAAAACCCAAATGATTTTTTACTGGTAGGAAATGGGGGGGAGGAGACGCATAGGGGCTTTATTCCGTGGCTAGGGGCTGGTGTCTCACGTTCATTCCATCCCCTTCCCTGAATTTCTGAAGCCACCTGTTTCGAATTCTTTGCTTCTCTCTCCAGCTGCTACCCAAGCCGTGTCCTTCACCCACTCATCTGTCAGATCAGAAGGCACCCAGAGGATCTGATTCAAGGCCCAGATTCTCCAAAGAACTTAAAAAACGTCTAAAAAGAAATTAAATCTTCCCTATGGAATGGGAGGTCAAAAAGAAAAAAGTAAGAAATTAAATGGATTCAATTTTATCTATTTATTGAATAAACCAATCCTGGGTAAAGAGAAAAGAACACTAAGTTTTGGGACAGAGGGACTGGGCAGGTGGCAGAAGCCCCAGCCCAGAGGGGTGTGGGGGAGGAAAGGGAGGGGTCATTTGTAAAACTCATGCTCTTGCTCGTCCTTCTTGATGACAGTCTTGTATGCTTTCTCGAAGTCCTTGGCCAGGACGATGTAGCGGTTCTCACGGACGGCCAACATCCCACTCTGTTGAAGGATAAGAGTTAAAATCTATTTCCTGTACTCCCCACTCCTAGTGACGGTGGAGGAAGAGAAAGATGGGGCCCAAGACCCAGGAGGCAAGAGGGGACCAAAGGATTGCAGCAGAGTGGTCTCAGAGAAGAGGAAGAAGGGTCCCCTGCCCAGATGCAGAGAGAAGCCATTCCTCACCTCCTGACAGATGGAGTTGATATCAGCTCCTGAAATCTTATCTGGCCGGGCCACATCTGTAGCAAGTGAGTTAAGGAAACCATTCCCTGCCTGATGGGGTGAATGCCTGGAGCCAGAAGACATCCTTGGCCATCTCTGTCACCACCCTCCTCCCTGGACCTTGGTCCCCATCTGCAGGGATGGCAGAGATGGAGGTGAATATCCAATCCCCATTCCCTACTGTGGTCGCTCCATCACTTGGGAACAGGATACAATCTTCCAAGTCAACCTCCTCAGAGAGGTTCATCTTGCTGGTGATAGTGGAAAAAATCAATCTTTTCTGGCGACGATCCGGGAGGGGGAATTCAATTTTACGGTCGAGGCGGCCTGGCCGTAGCAGGGCTGGATCCAGGGTGTCTGCTCTGTTTGTGGCCATGATCACCTGGCAGTGGGGGCAAGCCAGCTCAGACCTCTGTCCCCTCCCCACTGCCTTCTCCGCCTCTTGCCATGATATCCACCCCTCACGTGATATCCAGCCCCTACTGTTCCCTGATTCCTAGACCCAACCTCCTCTTGCCCATCCAGAACCCCGAACCTTGACATTGACGTTCTGGTCGAATCCATCCATTTGATTCAGCAGCTCCAGCAGGATTCTCTGAACCTCCCTGTCAGCTGGAGAATGCGGGGCACAGTCAGTCCAGGGCATCCTGTGTGACAAGCCAGCCCAAGACCCCGGGCCCTTTTTGGGCATCACTCACCCCCCGTCTGGGCATCAAATCTCTTGGTGGCGATGGCATCAATCTCATCTATGAAGATGATGGCAGGGGCATTCTCCTTGGCCAGGCGGAACACATCCCGGACCATGCGGGGGCCCTCGCCCAGGTATTTCTGTACAAACTCTGAGCCCACGACCCGGATAAATGCAGCTGATGGCAAGATGACAAGGGTTAGATGGAGATGAGTGTCCTGTGGGGCCCGTTCTGCTTTAACTGAAACTGGGAATTCCCTGAAGACATCCTTTTTCTTGGATGCCCACTCCTAGTGGCTGGGTCTCAGATCCAGCCTGAGGACCAGCCATCTGTTTGTGCCCTACGGCAAGCGACTCAGCACTGCAGATCATGAACCCTGCTCACAGATGTGCCAGTTTTTAGCCCAACATTTAGAAATCGGGATACTAAATACTAAAAAAACCCCAAAAACTGGATTTCCAGAGTGATTCCAATGTTAGTAGCAGATACATTGCCTTGATACTAAGACATCACACTGTCTTGCCAAGAGCTCTGAATTCCTGTTTGCTGTATAGACCTGCTTTTTAGTTACCTGAAACAGCCAGGGACCACGGGCACATCTTCTGATATAATTGACAACTGGCAACGCAGTTGAAGACAGGTTTGTTCTGGGCCCAGCCTTTGGACTTGTTTCTTACAGTTTAATTTGTTTCTTTCCTTTTTTTTTTTTTTTTGAGGCAGAGTCTCGCTTTGTTGCCCAGGCTAGAGTGAGTGCCGTGGCATCAGCCTAGCTCACAGCAACCTCAAACTCCTGGGCTCAAGTGATCCTACTGCCTCAGCCTCCCGAGTAGCTGGGACTACAGGCATGTGCCACCATGCCCGGCTAATTTTTTCTATATATATTTTTAGTTGGTCAATTAGTTTCTTTCGATGTTTTTAGTAGAGACGGGGTCTCGCTCAGGCTGCTTTCGAACTCCCGACCTCTAGCGATCCGCCTGCCTCGGCCTCCCAGAGTGCTAGGATTACAGGCGTGAGCCACCGAATGCAGCTTTGTGCTGTGCAGACCACACCCTCAGGATTCTCCTTCCAGCCGCCGTGGAGAATGGAGACACACGTCCATGCACATAGGCCAGGGGGCGTCATGTCATAAACGAGGAGTTGTGCAAGGCTGCAGCTCTGCCCTCTGCACTCCCTAAGATCCAAACTTTACACCTGGTAGCGCAAAGTGTCCCTCTTTTCCAGTCCCTGCATCACCTGGGGGCCCACTCAGCATCTGAACCTCAAGGTTTCTGACCTTTTCTACCCTAAACACATTGTGACAGCCTTGCTTTGGCCACATATTTACCTAGCTGCTCTGCAGGCATCCAACCAGTTCCATGTGAACCCCCCCATCTCTGGAATTGTCTTATCTTTTTTTAAAAAACAGAAAATGATTTTGACTAGCCAAACCCAATGGAATTGCTTTATCTGACCCCAGCTTGTCTGTTGGCCTTTCCTACTCAATCGCTGCAGTCCCCGTCCTACCCCGCCTTCCCTGTCCGTCCTTGTCCTCCCAGGCTCTCATCCCCCTCTGGGCTCTGATACTTCCTCCACCTGCCCAGGAATGGGCTCCTGCTTCAGTTATTCTTACTAAACTGCATGAATTGCCACCATAACAAAGAGATGAACTCCCATCTCAGCTTGGACCTTAATCTTCCTCCCCAGTCAGGAAACTCAACCCCAGTGAGCAACTTTTCCTGCTGCTCCACCCCTAATGCACTCTCTGTCCTCCCTCTCTCTGCCAGTGACAAACCACCATGATTCACTCAGAAAGAGACACCATGAAGCACGACTCCCTCGATTTCTGCTCCTACTCAGCCAAGCTTGTCTGTCTTCACTGGATTGGAACTCTGGGCAGAACAAGGCACTAGTAGAAAACCTAGTGAAATTAGAAGGAGGCCCACACTTGAGTTCATAGTACCGTACCAGCGTAAATTTCCTGGTTTTCATAACTGTACTGTGGCTATGTTAAAATAATGACATTAGGGAATCTGGCTGAGTGGTACACAGGGACTCTCTGAAATAATTTTCTATTAAATTATTTTCAGAAAACATTTAAATACAGTTTTTCAAAACTAAATAAGAAAAAGGTAACTGGCAGGTTCCCTGGATCTTAAACAACACAAAGCTTTATGGCCTCTTTCTTTCTTTCTTCAATGGTTTGTCATCCTCTTGCCAAGACTCTTATCCTTTGCAACTTTTTTTTTTCTCGGTGCACACATACAGCAAAAGCCTGCCCCTTAGTCACTGAGGCCAAGGAATCAATAGAGTAGGTAATAGCTTGAGGTTTGGGGTCAAACAGTTTGGGATTAAATCCCTGCACAACCGCTTGCAAGCTGGTGGCCTTGAGCAAGTTACCTATGTTTCCTTTTGTGTAAACTAGAGACAACAACGGTACCTATTTTACTGGGGCGGGGGTGGGGGGGTGGGGTTCTGGCCTCTAAATAATTAAGTATTAATTAAACAATTAATACATGCCTAAATGCTGAGAGCTGTTCCTGTTACATATCATAAATGGTATCTATTACTCCCACCACACAAATACCTGCAACGAGGACTGCTAGACAGCAGGGAGAAAAACAAGAACAGGGCAGACAGGCACCACCACAAATTCCAGTCTCCAACCTCACCTGGGTCCTCCCACTGCCACCTGGGTCCTCCCACTGCCACCTGGGTCCTCCCACTGCCTGGGAAGGATCTGACATCACTCCTGGAAGCCCTTTCTGTTGTCCTTCAGCACCTCACCTTGTCCCTTCTTCACTGTCAGATGACCTCACCTATGTCACCCCAAAGAAATGAGAGGCCCCTCAAGTGGTCAGAGCTCAGGAGGGTGGGCGGGAGGCTCACCTGTCGTGTGATGTGCCACCGCCTTTGCCAACATGGTCTTCCCACAGCCGGGTGGGCCGTACATGAGGACGCCTCGGGGAGGATCGATGCCAATCTGAAACCCAGAGGGGGAAAGGAGGATGAGCCGGGGGTCCGTCACCCACCCCAGACCCAGCAGGGCCTCTCCTCTCCCTGCCATCTCCACTGCCTCACCTGCTTGTAGAGCTCGAAGTGGGTGAGCGGGAGCTCCACGGCCTCCCGCACCTCCTGCTTCTGGATGTCCATGCCCCCGATGTCCGCGTACATCACGTCTGGCTTCTGATCTGGTGGGAGAGCAGAGCTGGGGCTCCCAGCCTGGCCCACAGGGTCCCCCTGGGCCTCCCTGGCCGCGGGCTGCCCCCTCACCTGAGGTGAGCATCATGATGCTGCTGTCGGCCTCGGGGGGCAGCACGTCCACCAGGGCGTTGCTGTGCTTGTGGAGGGCCACCGACGCGTTGGGCTTGAGCAGCTCGCGGTCGATGGTGCTCAGGATGCGCACGTAATAGTTGGAGCCTTTGGACGGGAGGCAGCAAGGGCGGGGGGCGGGGGATGAGAAGCAACAGAGCCTCAAAACCGTCCCTTCCTCCTTCCTCCAACCTCAGTTGCACCCTCCAGGCCACCAATATCTCTCAGACGCCGAGGGGCCCGCTCTGGGCCTCCAGTCTGTCCCCACATTCATGCTAGCGACTTCCTTGTCTGTCTATAGCCCTGACTCTTTAGCACTAGCCCTGGTGAACACCATGCCTCGCCTGATGTCCCCTGAGTGTCCCACTTGCTGTGTCCCAATGTGATCTTGGTATATTTGCCCCAGTAGTGCTCCTGGATCTCAGTCCCAAGGAGACCCACTGTCTCCCAGTCCCCAGCCAGAGCCCTGAGCCTCAGCCAGGACCCTTCTCCACTCCCCTCCACAGCCCATCAGTCACCACAACCTCCCACCCAGCCCCCCGAGTGTCTGTCCAACCAGTCCCTCCTCTCCTCCCCATGACCCCCGCCCTGATTCAGCCCCGTCCCCTCCCATCTAGGTCCCTGTACAACACTTCCCTGGTCACCCGGCCTCCAGTCTCCTCTCTCCAGCCCACCTCCTATATGTATGCTGGTGATGCACATCTCTTTCCAGGCTCAGTCTCTCTCCTGACCACCAAAGCTAAGTGTCCCACAGCCTCAAGGACACCTCCCCATGATGCCTTGGACTGCCCTCACTGCTTCCCTCCAAACCTACTCCTCTACCCCTGTTGCCATCTCAGAGAGAGCCCCACAGTCCCCCTGAGTCCCACAGGTCAAAGATACAGCCTTCATCCTGGATACCTTCCTCCCCTCACTTCCCCACGGCCCATCAGTCCAATTCCAGGCACAATCACACACCTCCCCCCCTCAGAACTTTTACAAGAACATGGCTTGGTCCAGAATAGCAGAGGCCAGAAGCAGGAAAATACAGATAAGACACCAGAGACAATGACCATGAGGACAGGGCCTGGACCTACATTAATAACAGCAGCTACCATATACCTTACCAGAGCCCAGTCTCTTAACACTCCACCATGGTTTCAAACTACAGGCCCTAATCCAGTAGTAATTGCGAGACCGATTTAGAGGGTCATAACTAGAACTGTGTTTAAAACAAAACAGACTAGAACGGAATGGAAAACATCAGAATATATCACACATAGTAAGGCTAAATATCCTTGGTAAAACTTTTGTTTTATATGTATGTTTAAATAGAGGCAGAGACAGGCATTCACAATGTAAAATATATTTCTTTTTTTTTTTTTTTTTTGAGACAGAGTCTCACTTTGTTGCCCAGGCTAGAGTGAGTGCCATGGCATCAGCCTAGCTCACAGAAACCTCAAACTCCTGGGCTCAAGCGATCCTGCTGCCTCAGCCTCCTGAGTAGCTGGGACTACAGGCATGCGCCACCATGCCCGGCTAATTTTTTTGTATGTATATTAGTTGGCCAATTAATTTCTTTCTATTTATAGTAGAGACGGGGTCTCGCTCTTGCTCAGGTTGGTTTCGAACTCCTAAACTTAAACGATCCGCCCGCTTCGGCCTCCCAGAGAGCTAGGATCACAGGCATGAGCCACCGCGCCCGGCCTGTAAAATATATTTCTACTTTTGGATCTGTCAAAATTCTCTGAAGAACACCATTATACTGTCCTGCCTTGTTTGCTGCTGTTTAAGACCCTAGCACATGGCAGGAAACAGTTGTTAAGTGGGGAGAGGAATGAATGAGGTGTCCCCCCATCCTCCACATCCACACACCTGTGGTAGAGCCCACGATGGCTGTATTCTGATCCACGGCCTCCAGAAATTGCCCAATGACCAGTGGGATGCTCTGGATTCGCTTCACCTCCTCCTGGGCATGAAGGAATTCCTTCTTCAAGTTCTTCTGTTCATCTTTGATGTACTCCTCCTGCACCTCTAGGAACTCCAGCTCTTGCTGCAGTTTCTGTGAGCAGAGAGTGCACAGGAAGGGGATGGTTCCAGGCCTTGCTGAGCCAGAGAGTGGGGGAAAGTGGGGGGAATATGAGATGCTGGGCCCTGTGCAGGAAAGTGGGGGGAATATGAGATGCTGGGCCCTGTGCAGGATTTGCGTTGGGAGTTGAATGTACCTTGTAGCGGCTGTACAGGTCCTCCAGGTCCTCCGGCTCAGGACCCAGGAAGGACAGGCCAGTCTGGGGCCGGGACACAGACAATGCTGGTATCTCATCCTAGACCAAAGGGGAAAACTCAGGTTAGATCTAGAGGTTAGATCCTCATGAACGCATCCTGAATCCTCTCCCCACTTTACCGTGAAGTCACCGAGTCCCTAACAGTCTCCTGACATTATTGAAAATAGATCCTGAAAACCTCCCAGCCCCCTAAATAGGCTTCAGTTGTCACCCAACCCCCTAAACAGGCCCCTCTGTCAACTTGCCCCCCAAACAGATCTTTTCCAATCATTCACAATCATAGCATGTCCCCAGTGTCACCCAACTCCCAACAAGGGTCTAGATGTCACATCAATTCCTTACCAGACCCCAATGGTCCCCAGCCCCTCTCAGCAAGTTCCTAATGTCGTCAGATGGCTCTCCCAGAGAGGCTGTTAAAGTCACTGCACCCTCAAAGAGTCCTGGCATTCCCCAGTTTCCCCCCCAAATATCGCTCATGTCACAGACTCTCAACTCACAGTTGGCCCAGACACCACTCAGCCAAGCCACAGATAATACTTAGCCACCGCCTCAAATCCCCAAGCCAAGCCCCCAACATGTGTCAGTCCCCCAGCCTAGACCCCGACATCAGTCGGCCTCATGGCTGCGTCCCATACATCACTCACCACCCGACCCAATCCCAACCCTACACTTATGTCACTTATGTCACTAACCACTCCCAGCCAGGCCTCGGAATTAATCAGTCTCAAAGACACTCTAATGTCACTCACACCCCTAGGCCCCTTTCTGAGTCCTACCGCCTTCCTAACATCCCTCGGCCACCCAGACAGGCCTCTGGACAGCGCAAAGATCTCCAGTGAGACCTCTGAAATCGCCCGGGCTGGGATCATCGAAGCCTTTCTGCCCCAATTCAAGTCTGGCTTCACCCTCTCCCCACTTGCCCGGCCCGGACTAAAAATTCCAAGTCCCCAGTGCACCTGAGCCTTCTCCACCAAGATGCCTATTTCCTCCATAGTGACCAAGCCTGCCTCTGTGCGGCCCGGTCTGATCAGTCACCGCTTCCGCTGACCCCACCGGAAGTCCATGGCCTAAGGGACCTCTGGGAAACGTAGTTCAAGATATCACTGAGACAGGGATGGATGAGCCGGATAGGATGAAGGGTTCGTCCTGGGCTCCGCCCCCAAGTCAAGCACATGCGCAGTCCGTACCCGCGGGGGCACTGGCGGGCTCGGAGCAGTGCGCGTGCGCTACGCGCCCTGGCGCCATCTCGCGCGCTATCACAGGTCGCCGCCGACTTTCTCCCCCGGAGGTGGCTTCCCCGGATTGCTCTTCCTTCTGAGGAAATTCTCAGAGATCCGTCAGGGAACGTCTAGTGGGCAAAGGTTCTTCTCTCTCATTAAGTGGCTGGGCTGGAGGGGCCTTGGGCCAGGCTCCGTAGAAGCGATCTTTTAGGAGGTCAAGTGGGGCTGACCCCAGAATTGTGGCCCGCGCGAAGATGGGAAGGCCCAAGCTGCCCCTGAGGGTGACACTTCGTACAGGACTCCACCCCGGGAGTGAGGAGACCCAAGGCAGCGAATCAAGTAGAACCCATGCTTCAGGGCTGGAGAAAATGAGGCAGCAGGTGCGCAATGAGCTGGTTCACACAGGAGACCCCCAGACCTGTGCCAGACCCTGTGCTTAACCTTCACAAGCATCATGTCATCGAGTCGTAACAGGTATTCTGTTTCCTCTTTTACGGAGAAGGAAACGGGCTCAGAGCCATGAAGTGTCACTTGCCACCGTCACAATGTGCCGGAGGAACAAAGTGCAGATTGGGACTCAGATCTGTCTGTCCCCAAAGCCTGTGCTCCTGGCCTCAGGGGAACACTGCCACCCTCCACGCCAGCTACAATTTTTGTTCAGGAAATCTTTTATTTATGAAGTATAAATACATAGAAGGGCACAAATCATTACAGCTCAACAAATTTACACAAAGTGAACACGCCCATACAACCAGTACCCAGATCAAGAAACCAAACATTAGCAGCCCCCAGAAGCCCGCCCCATGTGCTTCCTGTCCTTCATCCCCTTTAATGGGTATATCACTCACTCGCCTTCTAACAACATGAATTACTTTTGTTTGTTTTGAACTCTTTCTCACTTGATCCACACAACGTGTACTTTGTGTTTGGCTTTTTTTTAAGGTAACATGTTTCTGAGATTCATGCATGTTGTTTCTAAAAATAGTTCTTTCATTTTCATTCTCCATGGTTTGCATTGTGTGAATATAACTCAGACTGGATATTTTCCAGTTTGGGGCTGTCATGGTACTATGAATATTCTAGAACATTTCTGTGGGCAAACATATGTATTCATTTCTGGAAACATACTCAAGAATTGTTAGTCATAGGGCAGATACGTGTTTAGCTTTAGTAGACACTGTCAAACTGTATTAACTTACACTCCCACCAGTTGTGTATGTTTACACTTGATATTGTCAATCTTTGAAAATTTTCTTCCCTATGGTGGGTGTGTTGTGGGTTATCACATCAGACACCATTTGTCCATTGACTTTTGGCCAGACAAGTTCCAAACCATGAACTCTGACTCTTCATAACAACCCTCAGAGGTAGATTTGCTTTCCCTCATTTTGCAAATGTGGAAACTGAGGCTCAGACAGGAGAAAGTCACTTCCATTAAGTCACAAAGAGAATTAGTGGCTTCTGCTCAGTGACAGCTGTATGCTGGGGCGGGGGGCGGGGGTTGGAGGGTGGGGTGCCAAGATCTGGTCCCTGCCTTCCTTGAAGTCCCAGAGTTTTTATTTCCACAAAAAAGGAAAACAATGATGACAAGAAATCTGTCCTTTTTTTTTCTCTGCATAGGCAACTCTAAACTCTATATTCCAGGTCTCCACTTTACACCACAAAGGCGTCCCAGATTTTTACTAGAGGCTTAGAACCTCTCACTTAAAATGGAATCTATCATCTTACCCCATGCCACCCACCCTCCCAGTTTCCAGGTTTCAGACTCAAAGCCATCTGAGAGCTTTGCCTTTGACTGAGAGCCCAGTCAAGTCATCACCAAGTTCTGTTTGGCAATGACAAATAAATGTCTCCCTTTGGAATTTTTGTGGATGTTACAAATAACCATTTCCTGAACACTATGTTCCTGGTTCTTTGCTCAGTATTTTGTCTCATTATCTCATTTAATCCTTACAACATTAGGGAGTGGACGGTGATGGTAACCAACATTTATACAGAGTCCTTACCTTTCACTTTGTGCCAGGGAAGCTTCAATGCTTTATACATGTCATCTGATTTAATCTCCAAGTTGATGTGGAATTTTAAATGTGAATTGTTGTCTCACTTCCTATGTTCTCAGATCCTACATGAAAAACCAGGTTCAGAGAGGTAAGGTTACTTGCCCAAGATCATAGAGCAAGTAAATGGTAGAGCTGGCATACAAATCCAGAGTCTGAACTCTTAACCTCACTTGAGAGTTATTATTTGGATCTGCAGGCCACGATAAGTCAGTTGTTTTCAGGAATGAGGATGTCAGATCATTTAAGGAGTTTTGTCAAGCTAGACCCACCTTAATCTGCACCCTATTATTATGATCTTTCTTCCCATCCCTTGATTAAGAACTACCCATCTAGGCCATTTAAGAGATGGGAAAACTAGAGCTAGGAACAGTCCAGTTGACTAAAATTCATCTTTTGTGGTTCAAACCTGGGGCTTTATTTCTTTCAATGACACTGGCTTTCTAAGTAGGAAGGAAGGGTCTCTGGAGAATATAGGAATTCAACCAACTTGAGCCATCAACCTGTTCTGCAGCTTTTGCCTTTGTAAACAATGGCCACTCAGCTGGCTAAAACTCTTCCCTGACAGACCCTGGCAGAGAAACTGAAGTGACTTTCCTCATTACCATGCTAAAGTCTCAACCCTGGCAGGAGCTATAGCTTCATTACCATAGCGTGGGACCCGTGTGCAAGCATGACAACTAACCACACCTCTAGAGGGAAACTACACCCCTACAGGTGGTGACACATCTTTTTCCTTCTCTCCTATGCCCCATAAAAACCCCATGCCACTTTCCCTCAGTGGTGGCGGGGGACACTGCTTTGGAGAACATTCCCAGTGCTCTCTTCACTTGCCGCAAGTGATTAAACCCCGACTGATCAAGACCCATAGTCTCGTGGGGAGTCATTTGTTACCAGATTTCTTTGGGTAACAAATCTAGTACCCCAGATGGAACCATGGACTAGGCCCTGACCTGGCCTCTGTCTTAGGCTCCTAACAGGAGAAGCAGTGGTCTGCGGAAGTAGGCCCAGGCTCACCCTCTTAAGTTGCCAGACGGGGGATCAAAGAGGGACCCCTGAGACATCCCTGGCCTGGTGTCTAGCCCACCGACTGCCACCACAGGAACTCCTCAAGGGAGCAGAGGCGACCGCCTGAGCCTTTTCCTTCAGCACTCCTTTGAGGCGGTAAGTGACAATGGGTCCCATGAACTGACTCAAAGAATAATTTGGTCTTGGTCATTAGGACTCTGGGTTGCCTGGATTAGAACCGGGGTTAAGGGATCCAGGGTTGTCGGAAAAAGGAAGGACTACCCTTCGGGTCTGGGAGATTGAGAGAAATCTCCAACCATCTTAACAAGAGAAACCTCCAACATAAAGATGGGGAGCTCGTCTTCAGGAGGAGAGTCCGTTGTTGGGGTGCTTCCTCTAGATTGGAAACTGTCAGATACCCACCCATGACCCCAAATCAAATGATATTTTACTACAGTACAGCCTGGCTCCATCCCGTGTTCCCTGAGAAGTTGGGGAAAATGGCTGGAGAATGAGGTCATTTAATTATAATACAGTTCTCCAATTGGAGAATTTTACAAGGAACAGGGAAAAAAGCATGCAGTACTCTGTGGACAATGTTTTATGGTTGTCTTTCAAAACCCAGGGATGGGACGGGTTTTGAAAGAAAGAAAAATTACCAGGTTGACAATACTTATGGGATGGGAGGTGGGAGGGAGGCAGTTACGAAAAAGAAATAGTTAAGGTAGGAGAGAGATAGTTACGAAAAAGGGGTAGTTAAGCAAAAGTCAGAGTTCAGTAAAAAGTCCCTGTAAAAAAACAAAACAAAACAAAAAAAACACACCAAAATGTTCTGCCAGCTTGCAAGAGGATATAGCTAACCGCAAACCTCCGGCTTCTGTAAAATGGCTTGCTTGCTTTGGCTTGCTTCGCTGTGCAGCCCAAGGGGTATAAAACCCCTGAACTGAGGGAGCTCGAGGCTGCTGTCCCTCCTTGCATGGAGTGGTGACAGCCCCTGCGCAGGAGTACATAAAATTTGGATAATTGGATTTTGGTGTCCGAGTCCCCTGGATCCGCTAGTTTATAACAGTTTGTCCTGTCTATTGGCTCCACTTACTTTTATTCCTCTTTACTCCTCTTTGCTGATTGCCAAGTTTTGGCCAAGCAAAGGCAGCCAACTGTTCAAACTGCTTAAGTCCATGAATCTTTAACAACATGGCAGTACTGGAGTCTCTCTGAACTTGTTCCCGTTCAGCTGCTCGATTTGTGGATTGCTCTTTGCTCAATTAAACTCTGTTAAATTTAATTTGTCAGAAGTAGGTTCTGAAAGAGAGCTCCCAGAGACCCCCCCCACCCCCCACCAGGAGCACCAGGTAGATAGGTGAGGTCCCCGCCGGGGTTCATGGGTAAGTTCTCTCAGATTCAGAAGCTGTACAGATTTGTGTTTGAGCTCTCTGAGTTAGTTTGAGCAAATTTTTTATTCTAATCGGTTTGAAAGTTGCAACAGAAACTGTGCTGGGACTGGGATCCGATTGGATCTGATTATTACTTGGCTTAGTGATCCTCCTGCCTCAGCCTCCCAGGTAGCTGGGACTATAGGTGAGCACTAGCATGCCTGCCTGATTTTTCTTTTTCCTTTCCTTTCCCTTTCCCCTTCCCTTTCCCTTTCCTTCTTTCTTCTTTCCTTTTCTTGACAGGGGTATTGCTTTGTTGCCAGATTGGTCTTGAACTCCTGGCCTTGGATGGTGCTCCCACCTTGGCCTTCCAAAGTGCTAGAATTGCAAGCATGGGCCATTGCTCCTGGCCCTTAATTGGACATCTTGAAACCCTTTTTTATTAAAAAAAAAATTATATCAAAAAAAAAATCCCTGCTAAAAGAAAAAAATGCAGGATATATAAGCTGGCCAGAGGGGCAAAAGAAACAATGTTGCCTATTTCAGAAGCCCCTGGAGAGGAAGAGCTGGGCATGTAAGGACTGGTAGGGCAGGGGTGAGGTGGAGGAGTCCCTCTGTTTCCTGTCTGAGAAGGGAAGTAAGGACCTCTGGCCCTGTGAGAGAACTGGGACCATACCAACATAGGGCAGTAGTCCCCCTTTGTCCTCAGGGGTTGAATCCTCAGTGCCTCCAGGAGAACGTAAAGGCCCCCTTCTATAATTACAGAACCTTCCAGACTCTGCAGAGGCAGCCACGGCTCCTGTTACTGCTAAAGCAGGTACCCGTTATATCCCTCTTTGCTGGGAAGTGCTACTCATAATGGGACACATACAAGCCCGGAGAGGGACTGTTCGGGTCCATGTGCCTTTTACAA